TCATTCTTACTGGCAACGATCAAAGTGGGATTGATCAGTTAAAGAAGTACTTATTCAATCAGTTTCAGACCAAAGATCTTGGCAGACTTCGATATTTCTTAGGGATCGAAGTGGCACAGTCTAGGCAGGGTATTTCCATTTGCCAGAGGAAGGATGCACTGGATATCCTAGATGAGACAGGTATGTTGGGATGTAAACCTATTGATATACCTATGGATCCTAAATGTTAAGTTGTTACCTGGACAGGGGGAGCCATTGGCAGACACTGGTCGTTATCACCGGCTAGTTGGAAAGTTCAACTATCTTACTACGACAAGACCAAACATCTCTTTTGCAGTTAGCGTGGCAAGTCAAATCCTTGACTCTCCTTGTGACTCCCATTGGGATGCAGTTATCAGGATTCTTCGATATATCAAAAAAGCACAAGGAAGAGGTTTATTATACACAAATAAAGGGAATGCAAAGGTGTCTAGCTATTCAGATGCTGACAAAGCAGGTTCTCCTTCAGACAGACAATCCACCTTGAGGTATTGTGTTCACCTCGGAGGAAACTTGATCTCTTGGAAGAGTAAGAAGCAAACTGTGGTCGCCAGGTCAAGTGCAGAGGCAGAATATCGGGCAATGAAAAATGCATCTGCGAGCTTATCTGGCTAAAACAATTGCTTAAGGAACTACATCTCTGCGAACAGCAGCCCATGAAGCTCATTTGTGTTTATCAAGCAGCATTGCACATATCCTCTAACCCAGTCTTTCATGAGAGGACCAAACATATAGAAATTGACTGTCACTTTGTTAGAGAGAAGATTCAGTCAGGAGAGATCGAGATAATATTTGTCAATTCCAGTGATCAACTTGCAGATGTTTTTACCAAGACTCTTAGAGGTCCCCGAATAGATCATATATGTAACAAGCTGGGAGCTTATGATATATACGCACCAACTTGAAGGAGAGTGTTAGAAATAATATTGTATTAAATAGTATTGTATATTTATTATTCTGTTATGTAGCATGTTATTTGGGCTTTTTAAATAGATGACTTTTGTACATTTCTATATACAATTGAATACAATACATTCATACATTCTAATTTTACTGTTCAAAAAAAAAAAAAAAAAAAAAATCTGATCCAAATTCCTTGAGGTAAAACTTGTCTTTTTGTATTCTTTTCAGTTTTGTTCTTTTTTATTCTAGTGTGTACTTCTCTTCTTACTTAATTATAGTTATTAGTGCTTAAATTTATTGTCATTCCAACATTTCTTTACCCCTAATTCTTAACATAAAAAAATATATATATTCTCTTGTTCTTCTTGTCTTTCTCTATTACATCTTGTGATCTATTTGGATTTCTTCAAGAAATTGAGTTCAGCCAAGAACTAAAAGAGGGAATTCAAAAAAAGGGGAGAAAAGCAAGAGTGTGTTATAAGAGGGTAAAAGCCTAATTTTGAAACACGAGTGTGAGAGCTATATTAATTGGGAGAGAAACACGAGGGTGTATTTGTGAAGATATTTCAACTTTTGTTTTTTGCATATTAAAAAAATAAAAATATCTCAAGAAGGTGATGCTCAAATTCCTAAAGATTTCAAATTCTACTTTGAAGCCATGGCACAGAGATTTGAAAGATTGAACTTCAGGTTCGATGAAATGCAAGATAGAATAGAAAGAGTTGAACAAAGGGCGCAACAACCTAGAACTTCAAACATCAAAATGAAGATGAAACCAATTCTACAGTTGATATTAGGCAGAATGAGCGTTGAAATGAAGGAAGAAAGAGTGCGTAATGAAGGGTTGATAATAACCTTATGAAGTATCAAGATGAAGATTCCATCCTTCCAAGGCAGAAATAATCCAGAAGCTTACTGGAGTCGGAAAGAAAGATGGAGTTGGTGTTTGATTATCATAACTACTCGGAATCGAAAAAGGTAAAATTGGCTGCCATAGAATTTTCTGATTATACTATTGTTTGGTGGAATCAATTTGTGTCAAACAGGAGGAGACATAGTGAAAGACCCATTGAAACATAGGAGGAAATGAAAGTTGTCATGAGAAGGCGATTTATTCCAAGTCACTACCATAGGGACTTGTTTCAGAAATTACAAAGTCTCACAAGGTTCTAAAAGTGTTGAAGACTATTTCAAGGAGATGGAGACAGCCACGATTCGAGCCAATGTAGATGAAGATCGTGAAGCTAGATGACATGGTTCACATGGCCATAAAGGTGGTAGAATTACAACATTATGTGGAGTTAGATGACATGGTGCACATGGCCATAAAAGTGGAGAGGCAACTAAAAAGGAAGGGTACCATGTATATGGGGCAGAATTTAACTTCATCTTCAAATCCAACATGGAATAAAAATGAAAAGAAGCCCCATTTCAAATCTCCAGTTGGTTCCTCAAAAACCAACCGAGTTGTAAATACTTCCAGCCAAGATAAAACTGAATTTCAATTCTCTATAAATAGAGATACAAAATGCTCAAGTGTTTGGGAAAGGGTCATATTGTTTCTCAATGTCCAAACAACAAAGTCAACGTTTTTGAAAGATAATGGTGATATTGAAAGTGAAGGGGATTCTGATAATGAATCGATGCCATCCTTACAAGATGCAAGTGATATTAAATTCCCAGTTGAAGGAGAGCTTTTAGTGGCTAGAAGAGCTCTTAATGAACAAGTTAAAAAAGATAAAGAATTGCAGCAAGAAAATATTTTTCATACTAGATGTCATGTTAATGACAAAGTATGTAGCATGATTATTGATGGGGGAAGTTGTACAATGAAGCTAGCATAAGTTTGATGGAAAAGTTAAATTTAACAACTTTCAATCATCCTAGACCATATAAGCTACAATGGTTGAATGATTGTGGAGAAATCAAGGTGAACAAGCAAGTGGTAGTTCCATTTTCAATCGGAAAGTATAAGGATGAAGTGTTATGTGATGTTATGCCAATGCAAGTTGGGCATATTCTCTTAGGGCGTCCATGGCAATTTGATAGGCATGTAATTCATGATGGGTTTTCCAATAGGTATTCCATGGTCATCAATAACAAAACCATCACACTTGTTACCTTTAACCCCCATGCAAGTTTACGAAGATCAAATGAGGTTAAAAAAAGAGTGAGCAGAAAAAAGAAAGAGAAGATGAGAGAAAAAGATAGTGAAAAAGAAGTTTCAACCAGTGAGAAAAGAAAAGAGAGAAAACAAGAGAACTTCCTTGCAAATGCTTGTGAAATCAAAAGAGCTTTGGTCCTAAAACAGCCTATGATTGTACTCTTGTACAAGGAGGTTTGTTTTAACACTAACAAACTTAATTCTTCTTTGCCTAGTGCAATTGTTTCTATTTTGCAGGATTCTGAGGATGTGTTCCCTGCAGAAATACCCGATGGTTTACCAGCAAAAAAGGGTATAGAGCACCAAATTGATTTCATACCAAGGGCAACAATTCCAAATAGACCAGCCCATAGAACCAACCTTGAAGAGACAAAGGAGCTCTAAAGGCAAGCTAATAAAGGGTGCATGAAAGTAGTTTTTGAACCAGGAGATTGGGTTTGGCTACATATGAGAAAGGAAAGTTTGCAGCTCAAAGACATCCCAAATTGCTTCGAAGGGGTGATGGACCATTTCAAGTGATTGAAAGGATAAATGATAATGCCTACAAGCTTGACCTTCCAGGTGAGTATAATGTTAGTGCAAACTTTAATGTTTTTTATTTATCTCCTTATGATGTAGGTGCAGATTTGAGGACAAATCCTTTTGAAGAGGGAGGGAATGATATGAATAAGGAGACAAGACAAAATGATCCATTACAGTTTCCAAATGGGCCAATCACAAGATCAAGGGCCAAGAAGTTTAAGGAAGCTCTAAGTGGACTGATTCAAGAACTGTGGACTAATCATAAAGACATCAAGTCCAAATCAAATCTTAATCAGAATTTAGTTAATAACATCAATTCAAGGGAGGATGAGTGAAATTATTAGCATCAAAACAACAAAAGCTTAGTGGAGTTGATATTATCAATTTAATAATAATTTAGTGGATTTATTTTGTCTTTTCCCCAAATAATGTGTCTTTCCCCAAATGGCGTGTCTTTTCCCAAGTGAATTGTCTTTTCCCAAATGATATGTCTTTTCCCAAGTGATGTGTCTTTTCCCCAAGTGATGTGTCTTGTCCCAAGTGTTGTGTCTTCTCCCCAAGTGATGTGTCTTTTCCTATTCTTGGAGGGATGTTTCAAGATAGACTTTTAGTATAAATAGGAGGGATTAGGGCCTTTGTAAACAGACTTTGAAGTTATAATATCAATAGGGAGGTTTCTTCTTTTGGTTCTTATCTAGAACTCTGAACTTATCAAGAACCTTGTTCTTGTAGCGTTCAAACCAGACTTATCACTCACCTTCTTCTTTCTTGAGTGTGGCGTCTTTATCCTTCTTCTACTTTTGATTCTTATCTTCCATAAATAACAGGTCAAGATTCTTTATTTCTTGTTTAAATTCTTGATTATAGAAACGATTTTAACTAAATTGGTCTTAGGTCTCACTATTCTTGGTGAGGTTCATATCAGCGGGGGAGCGGGAGGGGGAGTATACGAACCCATCATCAGGGTGTACGATAGGAAAGGCTGCATAGGTTTGGGCCATTCCCATGCCAAAGCCATATGACTCTCTCACTTGGCAGGAAATGTTGTTATGCGGAGAAGGGGATAAGAGGAAAGAGTGGGAATGGTTTCGGTAAAGTCTTAAGTGTATTGGAAAGTAAGCTAGGAAAGTCCTGAGCCTCTTTAATGCTCACGGACACCATTTTGATACTATTTTCTTTCTTATGCATTATACTGTAATCAATTTTATGTACTGTTATCAGTTATACGAATACCATATATACATTTCTTTCACACTTCTTGCTCAGTCTACTCGGTTCTTTACAAAATGCCAGAAACCCCCTTTCAACCATAGATAAATTTAAGAAAACACCCCTATGGTTCAAAACCCAACAACTTAACTGCTCCGACTTATTAAACTGTGCTTATTGACTGCTTATATGGGGTTTCCTGCACATTCACAGAGTTAATTTTACACCACATTGCACAATTTGTTGAGTTTTGAACCATCGGAGGGTTTTCTTAAAATGACCTATAGATGGGGGTTCCTTGCATTTTAACCTAAAAAACACAGCATATTTAAAAGTGTTAAATATTAAATATACTTCTCCAACAAGGGAAGTATGACAGAAAATGGCACTTTGCACAAACCAGAGTAAACAAATACTAAATTGTCACACATCCTTCAAGCCCCAAAAAAATCAGTGGTCATTAATATCAACACATGATCATGGACAGTTTCAAACATAATGATTGAAATCAATTTTAAGAAGACAGACTTGTAACATTGAGTTGCAATGCACTGGCTAGCTTGAGCAACCTAATTAGTAACTTATAACATTGTAGAACAGAAAAAAAATTAATAAAAATAAAAATAACTTTAGAGAATGGATTAACAGATAAATAGAGAGTAGACTCGCATTTTGGTCACTGAAAATATCACAAATCAGTCCTTAAATTATTTAAACTTGTTTCATATTACACTTTTTCCTATCTATTTCCTATCTATGGGACAGATTAACATGAAACAAGTTTGAATAAATTATTCAAATACATAATTTAAATCAAGGAATAAATTGCAAGGTACATTTCTAAGGACCAAACTACCATTTTACTCAATAAGATTAAATAGATCACATCGCACCTTCATCTGTTGTCCACCAATTATATAGTATGTGTCAGCGAATAGATACAAACATGTAATGCCAATATGAAAATTATCTGCCAATTTCAAGGTGCAATCCAATGCCAATATAAAAACATGACAAGGAAAGCCAATTACCATTTTCATGCCAGTCTATACGGCATCGTGAACAGTGAATCATTTCAAATGACCCAGTAGGATATGGTAGTTGTTTTGTGGACAAGGCAGCGATCATTGCACCAATCCCTCTTTCTAATGCAAATTGAATCTGATTTTCATGACCATCCTTGGGGGCAAAGGACATTGTTCGTATATCCAACGGAAGATAAGCTGAAAAACTGGCCACACCACAGCCAACATCCAGAACTTGAACTACCCCTGCAGAATGCAGATTACCGGTCTCATTTGTAATCATATTTCCTAACCTGCATTTGTAAAGCCATTAAATGATTAGCAACTAACTTGAAAAGGGTAATCAGAAAAATATTATTAATTGTGTAAATAATCTGTACAAAGAGGTCTCTATTTATAGAGAATGAAAAAACCTAATACTTGACCTAATGGGCTTGGCCCAATACAACAAATAATAATAATTAAATAACCAATATTTACAACACTCCCCCTCAAGCTGAGGAATAGATATTTATCATTCCCAGCTTGCTAGTAAGTTCTTGAAATCTGTCTGAAGGAAGTCCCTTTGTTAATAGATCAGCCAATTGACGCCCAGTGAGAATGTATGGAGTGGTAATCAGCCCACTATCAAGTTTCTCTTTGATTAAATGACGGTCAACCTCAATATGTTTAGTCCGATCATGTTGAACTGGATTATGAGCTATACAAATAGCGGACTTATTATCACATAGCAGCTTCATAGGTCCCTCATATTTTATTTTGAGATCATCAAATACAATTTTCAGCCACAATAACTCACAAATGCCTTGAGCCATAGCTCGAAATTCAGCTTCTGCACTTGATCTGGCGACCACATCTTGTTTCTTACTTCTCCATGTCACCAAGTTACCGCAAAGAAACATGCAGTAACCAGTGGTAGAACGACGGTCAGTCACAGATCCAGCATAATCAGCATCAGTGTAAACTTCTAAAGAGAGATTGTCATCACGTCGGAATAACAAGCCTTTACTAGGAGTAGCTTTAAGATACTGAAGAATTCTCTCTACTGCCTGCATGTGTTTCTCCTTTGGATCGTGCATAAACTGACTAACAACACTAACAGCATAAGCTAGGTCTGGTCTAGTATAAGCCAGGTATATCAATTTCCCAACTAGCCGTTGATATTGTCCTTTATCAACGGGAGGACTCTCCTCTTCGTAGCCTATCTTGTGGTTCTGCTCAATAGGAGTATTAGAGGGTTTACACCCGAGCTTTCCTGCTTCTTTGAGAAGATCAAGAACATATTTCCTCTGGCTGATAAAAATTCCTTTCCTTGAATGAGCTACTTCTATCCCTAGGAAATATCTCAGTTTCCCAAGGTATTTGACTTCAAACTCAGAGGCAAGCCGTGTTTGCAGAATCTGTTTCTCCACAAAATCATCACCTGTGATAATAATATCATCAACATATACAAGGAGCACAGTAAGCTTCCCATTACGGGAGTGCTTGAAGAAAAGAGTGTGATCTCCTTGACTCTGTCTGTATCCTTAGTAAACCTTCCAAACCTTAGTAAACCTTCCAAACCAGGCACGAGGTGACTGCTTCAATCCATATAAGGCCTTTTTCAATCTACAAACTTTATTTTCTCCCTTCACAGAATCAAAACCAGGCGGGATTTCCATGTGTCTAACTTCTTCTTCTAACTCACCATTGAAGAAAGCATTTTTCACATCAAATTGATTTATATCCCAATTGTAATGGGCAGCAAGGGATAACAAGACTCTCACCGTATTCATCTTTGCAACTGGAGCAAATGTTTCTTCATAATCAATGCCATAGGTTTGAATGTAACCTTTGGCAAATAACCGAGCCTTGTATCTCTCAAGAGTTCCATCAGAATTATATTTCAAAGCATAAACTCATCTGCACCCTACTGCTTTCTTTCCATTAGGTCTATCAATAACCTCCTATGTTTTATTTTTCTCCAACGCATTCATTTCCTCTTGCATGGCTTGAGCCCAATTCCCATCTTTCAAGGCTTCATGTACTGATTTCGGGATTGCAATAGAGTCTAGTGCTGAAACAAAGCTTTTGTGCTGCACAGAAAGATTAGCAGAGGAAACAAAATGGGAGATAGGGTATTGAGTACAAGAGGGACAGGAAGAACAAGATTTCTTGAGACAAGATCTTTTTCCTTTTCTAAGAGCAATGGGTAAATCATCAGAATCAGTAGTAATAGGTAAGTCATCAGAAGTATTAACATCATGATCAAAAATATGAGATTCAGGACTTACCAGTGGTTCAGACGATCGAGGTTGCTGCTGAGGCAATGTGGGTTGTTTCCTTCTTTGATATACCAACTCAGGTGTCATAATCTTCCATATCTCTGGTGTACTTAATGTATCAGTCACAGGAGGATCAGTCACAGGAGGATCACTCACAGGAGGATCAGACACAGGAGGAACAGGAACAAGAGGAGGATACACTGACACAGGTAAAGGAGTAGACACTGAAGATTCAAACTCAAAGAAGGAAGGTGATGAGTTTTCTGGTGAAGGATTCTCCCCCTGAAGATGAGGACCTTGGAAAAAGAACTCAGATTCCTGAAATGTAACATCCATAGAAACAAAAAATTTCCTACTACCAGGGTGATAACACTTGTAGCCCTTCTTATCAGGAACATAACCAAGAAAAACACATTTAATAGCCCTAGGGTCCAACTTACTGCAATGATGTTTATGAACATGAACAAAAGCAACACATCCAAACACTCGTGGAGGAAGACTCGTAGTTGGAATAGAAGGGAAAAAAGAAGTCATGGAGTGAATAGGACTTACATGGTCAAGTACCCGAGTGGGTAAACGGTTGATCAAGAATGCTGCAGTAAGAATAGCATCTCCCCAATAGTATTTCGGTACATGTGTCTGAAACATTAATGCACGAGCCACTTCAAGAAGGTGACGATTTTTTCTTTCAGCAACCCCATTCTGTTGGGGGGTGTCAACACAAGTAAGTTCATGAATCATACCGTTATTTCGTATAAATTGAGAAAAACTGTGATTAACATATTCAGTACCATTATCTGTTCTTAGTCTCTTGATTTTTTTACCAAATTGGGTCTCAACCATTTTATAAAATTGAAAGAACAGTTGTGGTACCTCAGACTTTTCACGCATTAAGTAAACCCAAGTTACACGAGTGCAATCATCAATAAAAGAAACAAACCATCTATTTCCAGAAGCATGATGGACTTTAGAAGGACCCCAAACATCAGAATGAATAAGATCAAAGGGTGCAACACTCTAGTAATACTAGAAGGAAAAAACACACGATGATGCTTAGCAAATTCACAAACATCACAATGAAAAAACTCAACAGGCTTAGACAAAAACAATGACGGAAATAAAGACTTGAGTAAACTAAATGGAGGATGTCCCAAACGCTTATGATGAAGCCAAATCAAAGAATCAGCAGTTGATTGACCATGAGACATCAAGATGTGATCTGTTACTTTAGTTGCGGGAGATTGTGATACCAGACAGTACAGCCCACCTTGCTCTTTAGCATTACCAATCGTCTTCCCCGTGGCGAGATCCTGAAAAACACAATGGGTAGGGAAGAAGGTTACAGTACAATTCAAATCTTTTGTAATTTTATGAATAGAAAGAAGATTTGTGGAGAGTTTAGGAACATGAAGAACATCTTTAGGATGTAAGGACTGCTGTAAGTTTATGTCACCAGAACCCGCAACTAATGTATGTGAGCCATCAGCTACGGCTATTGTATGAGTTCCAATGGTGGGATGATAAGAAGTAAAGGAGTCAGCACAACATGCCATATGATCAGTAGCACCAGAATCAACAACCCAAGAATGTTTAAAATCATTAAATGAAGAAAGGAAAGAATAAGTTTTGGAGCTCATACCAGTCATAGTCAAAGCACTAGTATCAGATGGCTTACTCAGAGAATCAAGGATGATTCGGAGCCATTCCAACTCATCTGGACGAAATGCAGGTTGGGTCTCATTAGGTGCAGAAGTTATTTTAGTAAAATGCGGTTGACCACGCATCCTAGTCATCTTTTCTAAGACAGTTTGCTTTCCATGGAGGCGAAAGCATAGATCCTTGATATGACCTGTTCTTTTACAATAAGAACACCATCGATCATCTCTCTTAGGTCTAGAAGATGCACCATCAGAAAACTTTGTAAAGGAACTCCTTTGAGAAGAGGCCATACTGCACAAAAAATGGTCAAAGGATAACACCAAGAAGCCAAAAATCACAAAAAAATACCAAACGACGTCCGATCTGAGAGGAGAGCACAGATCCAGAAAGAGGATGAGGAGAAGATCAGAAAACTTTTTGGCCGGAGCTGGAAAAAGTGGCCCACGCGCTGGTGGAGGTGTCTGCGAGTGGGCTTCACTCGCCGGGAGTGTGGCGGCGCGTGAGAGCGCGTGCGGCGGCCGACGGAGCTGAAATTTCTGCGGCGAGGCCATCCGACGGTCGCGAACGTATCTGTGGCCGGTCGGAGTTGAAAGGTCGCCGGAAAAGTGTCCAAAACGCGATGAACAGTAGCGGCCTTGTGTTGATTTGGGAAGATCCAGTCGTCAAACGATTATAACACGTCCGTAAGCTGATAGATCAGAGTAAAAGGATTTGAAAACTGGTCCTCTTGGTCCAAAAGGTCCACCGGAAAAATTTTCCGGTGGCGACTAATGGCGGCAAGAGGCTAAGAAAGAAGGTTTCTGTTTTAACGGAGGTAATTGTGGAAGCAGAACCCTCGGGATCGAGAGCTTTGATACCAACTTGAAAAGGGTAATCAGAAAAATATTATTAATTGTGTAAATAATTTGTACAAAGAGGTATCAGAGCCTCGGTGTACTGGGTTCGATCCTCGCCGCCCCCCACTTTCTTTCAAGTGGAATTTCTTTGTTTGCACAGGTAGGTGGGCCTGTGCATTGTCCACCCTTCAAGCCCAGTGGGCTCTCGTGTGAGGGGACGTGTTGAGATATATAAAACCATTAATGTAGCTTCACCCAACAGCTTAAGCTTTTGAGTTGAATTGGTTCTTTACAAACTACATCTTGCACTATTCAATCAAGGGATAATATTCCACAAGAATCAAAGTACCCAGTAAAGAGATAAAATTTTGGGAAAAGGTAAAAAAACAATTGGCATCTTTATAGGTAGAACTATATATATATATATATATATATATATATATATATATATATATATATATATATATATATATATATATATATATATATATATATATATATATATATTGAGAGAGAGAGGGAGGAGGAATCTTTTTACTCTAGTGTGCAAGACTAAGAAGACTTACTCCCCATCTGAAGAGTTGATTTCTGTCCATCTAATAGTTGAGATGGGAAGTAAGTCTTCTTAATCTTGCACTAGAGTAAAAAAATTCCTCCTATATATATATATATATATATATATATATATATATATAGTAGAGTGTTTAGGTATTGTTTATTAGTCCCCACATCATGAATGTAAATAAGGCCCAAGCCCATGTATTCTATTTTTAGATTTTCTTGGCCAAAAAGGAAACCTTATATCAAACTACCAAGCCTCACACATCACAACAAAATGGAGTGGTTGAACGGAAAAGGAGACATCTGCTTCAAACAGCGCACACCCTTCTTCATATGTATGTTTAGCTTTGCTTTTGGGCGGATGCTATTAATACATCGTGTTTTCTCATCAATTGCATACCTTCTTCTAGTTTCCTGACACTCCTATGTATCTTTACCTCCGCATGTTTTTGGATGTACCTACCTCACTTCAGGCAAGGGCAAATCCTTCAAGTGCCTCTTCCTTCATTACTCGTGTGTTTAAAAAGGTTATTGCTACTACTCTCCTAATCTCAAAAGTCACATTATTTCTGTTGATATCACCTTCCTCCATCAACAACCTTTCTCTTGTTCCCCTACTCCAATGTCACAGGTTAATCATATTATTCCTATTCCCTTTCTTGATTCTTCCTATCCCCTACTTCTACCTCATCCAGGTTGGCACCAAGAAATTATTGATGAAATGACTGCTCTCTACTCAAATGACACACGGGATCTGGTTCCTGCTCCTACAGGAAAATCTGGTGTCGAATGTTGCTGAACATTCACAGTCAAGGTTGGTCCTGATAACACTATTGACTATCTGAAAGCCTACTTAGTGCCAAAGGAATACACTCATATTATTGGCCACGACTATAGGTAAACCTTCTCTCCCGTCACCGAGATGGCTTTTGTCTTTCCCTTACTGTCGTTCGTCACTGCCCCTTTCTTCAGCTCGACATTAAAAATGTTTTCTTGCACGGTAATTTGCAAGAAGTGTACATGGAGCACCCACCCAACTTTGTTGCTTAGGGGAAGTCTGGATTAGTGTGCAAAATCCACAAATCTTTATATGGCTTGAAGCAGTCACCTCGAATTTGGTTTAGCCGTTTTAGTTTAGTTGTTCAAGCTTTTGGTTTAGCTCACAGCAAAGTCGATCACTTTGTTTTCTATCGGCATAGTTCTTTTGTCAGTGCATTTAACTCATTGTCTACGGTGCGATCCAGTTGGGATTGAATAGCTAAATAGTACTTTTTCAATCAATTTCAAACCAAAGATCTTGGCAAGCTTTGTTATTTCTTTGGCACTGAGGTGGCACAATCCAGGCAAGACATCACCATGTATAAGAGAAAGTATGCCTTGGATATCATGGAGGAGATTGATATGGGATACAAGCCTATTGACACCCCCATGGACCTTAATGTTAAGCTTCTGCCCAGACAAGAGGAGCCTCTGACAAATCTTGGCCATTTTCAAAGACTGGTTGGGAAGCTAAATTATCTTACTGTAACCGAACCAGATATCTCTTTTGCAATAAGTTGTGGCTGTTGTGTATCTTAATCATGCGGATTACATCATGTGTCCTTTGTTTCCTTCTCTTTTAACAACGGTGACAGTTGCATAATTTGGCTGAACATATTGAAATGAACATAAGCGATATAAATACATACTTGAAGAAGACAACCAACCATAAACTAGGCAATCACGTCACGTCACTTCTGTTAAGCACAAATCAATTTGTCACGTATTTACATTGTATATCTTTAACAAATTCAATAAGATCAGGGCACAAAGGTTATTTGGTTTCCTAAAGAACTAAATCATAAGTCATAATTGGGAGAAAAAAATTCTAAACTCTAGAAAAAGATGCTCAAATTATTTGCAGAAGCTACCTCTAGATAACAAATTCTTAGTACATCACAACACTAGGTTTATCAGTACTAAAATGAGATAAAAATTTACATCTACCATTTTTTTAGAATCGATCGATAGATCATATCTTTACTTGTTCTCTCTACAGTTACCTCAAACTTTGCTTATTTCTTTTTTTGAGGATCGGACATTCATAAACTGCTCTATCGTAATTCTTAGCGGATAATCCCAATTTAGGTAATTAATTTCTCAGTATATAATCAGCTCTAGACTAAAAAATATCAAAATGAGATTAAATTTGACATTTAGCAAATTGAAATAGATGATATCTACTCATGTTCTCTTCACATAGCCATCCTAATCTGATTTAAAAAAATTATGTACCAGACATGAATTTATTTTTTTGGAAGAAAAATAAAATCATCATAATAGTTGCCATGTCTCCAAAAAAAAGTTAATAAAATCATTAGAAAACCATCTCTGCAGTCAGCATGGTCCTCAGATAAAAGGGAACAAAAACAAGTAAACTATAGCTACCTCTCAATGTATTCAGATGCCCCATGCTTGAAATGGGTACCACCACCAGGAAACCACCAGAGCTGATCCTTCTCATGGACCCAATTCTGGCCTCCTTTGACTTCTGCAAGATGTGTATGATTCACATTACTTCGCCAAACATAATCCCTTCTAAGAGGCCATTTGATAGGTATTTTATAATCAGTTGGTGGAGGAACCAAGCAAAATAAGCGCTTTTCAAGTGGAGGGCATAGTCTCTCCAGTTCTTCTTTTCTAGACAGATCAAGGTTTGGGATCAATGTTGTGACATAAGAAACATCATGGCAGGGAATATACTCATTGAACGTCAAAGGGCATACATCTATCCCAGTTTCCGGAATAACTAGGGGAGTTTTGCGGTAAGTCAGACCAACTTTGTTAGTAAATCCGAAAATGCCTACAAGAGTTAGAAATATTTGTATATCAGTCACAAATCAGCAATCTGAAACTGCAAGCTTTGGCAGAAGTGTAATTAACAATTGTTTGCAACTCAACCAAGATGAGTAGATTCAAGGCATAAAGCAGTTGTTTTTAAACAGAATATACATATTGATACCATTTGAAGAGAAGCCCACTACTTGGATTTGACAGCATTGAAATCATTCTACATAGAATACCCTACTATTTAATATCCATTTACTTGAATCGAAGAATTTGAAGGTGCTTAATGACATAGATTCCTTCCTACCCCAGTTAGGCTTCAATATTAATTATATGAGTAATCAAAAGCTGATATTTTAGAAACAGAAGCATTTTAAAGAAAATGACATGCTAAGAAGCTCCCCTTATGAGCTGATGCATGAGAGGGTCAGAACCATTGTCTGGGTACAGTAGATAGCCTTATCTAACATTTGCATGACCCTTATTATATAATTCGAACATGTGACCAGGGGGTCACAACACTTGTGAGAAGCATTTTAAAGAAACCGACGAAATTTTTAGAAATCGATACCATAAAGGATGTGAAACCCACGTAGCGATAATACGAAAATTTGCAAGAGGACAATAAATGGCCACAAGAAAACAAGTAAAAAAAAGGAATTTTGCACCTGAGTTGAGCTGAAGAGGTTACCATTAGAAGAAGGACGAGCAGAAGAAGAAGAAGCATAAGAGGCAAGCTGAGAGATGTAAAGTGGAGCATTGTTTCCAAAAAGGGTACCCATGTAAAAAGAGACAATCATTAACAGCAAAGCAGCCATGATCATCTGCCCAGATTTGGAATCAAAGGCAGAACCCAAAGCAAAACCCCCCATTTGTTATTCCTTCCCCCTTCTTCTTCACTGCTACAGCTGGGTTTCTTCGTAATATTTCATAGAGAGAAAAAAATCAGAGAAGAAGCAGCTGCATTGGTGCGTGAGAGATAGAGAGGAGAGTTTCAAGTTGTGCAAACAACCCTTTTCTATACCAGTTTCAGATCGGTGAAAATTCGTTTATTTATTTTTTTTCTACCTTTTTTCCCTTATGTAAGTAATCGGAATTGGTCTTCTTAACGTTCTTTAAAATTAGGGTTCGCTTTTTATAAATGCAAATGGAGATAATTTATATATACTGAGCCTAAAATAACGTGATGAGCTAAAAATTATAAGAATCTACATTGTTAAATAATTATTAAAATAAAATTATTGATGCTGAAGCAAAGATTTGATAAAGATTATGCATAATTATGATAGGATAATTATTTCGAAAGTAAAATAATGCTTGAACCGCTTTTCTAATGAAAAGTGCAAATCTGATTCTGCATCACGGTATAAATGTATACCGGTAAAGTATCCCAAAAAATTGTAACAAAAATATAAATATTCCTAAAAAATATATAACAAAAATATAAATATTCCTCAAAAAATATATAGGTCAAGGATATCAAGTTTGGAGTAAGAATAATGAGCGATGATGTCAGAACTAATATCGGCTACAGATAAAACGCGTACCGACTAAGTGCTGCGAAAATTATAAGAAAAATATGATAATTTTTAGAAAAAATATCTAGGTTCAGAATCTAAAGTTTGGTAAAAAATGATTAGTGGGGCTATTAGAACTAATATCGATGGATTAATTAAGTGTACCTATAAATAGAATTGTGCACAAAACCTTAGTCAAATTTTTTAACCTCTACGTAGATGCCTTATTTTCAAATACACTCATGGCTGCCATATGCTCTTCCACTAGCTCTTATCATTTTCTCTCCATGAAAATACCAAAACTTGCATATTTTACCTTCTCTATTTTATCTAATCACTAGGGAACCTTGAAAGCAAACACTTTGGTAGAAAAAAAAAACCTCATCTTAGAGCCACAAAGATTCTGCCCATGTGTGTTTAAACACCACACCTCCATTTGTGAGAGCTTGAGTCACCATCTTCACTTGTGTTGAAGCCTTGGAACAAGAAAGAACCAACATTTACATGATCAAATTTCATGCACCTTGTTGGATGGTCATGGAGGCAGTGTTAAAGCCTTAAAAGTCCATTCTTTTTGCTGTCTTGAAGCTCATGGGTATATACCTCAACAGTTCCCTTTGTGTTTTCATGAAAATAACATGATTTAAAGATGTAAAATTATGAGTTTTAATAACTTAAACGTTGGTTGATGAACCTACGTGTTAAAATGCATGCTAAGTCGATGGAATAGATGTATATAGGTAAAAGATAGAACTTTAATGGATTATTTCATGTTGGGCTGCTGTTTTTGGCCACTGTCACGAAATATCCAGATATGATATCTGAATATGTGCGACGACAGCGAACCTGTTTTAGTAAAAATTTAATATCTGGAGCTACAAAGCTCCAAATTGAGTGTCGTTTAGACCTATGTGTAGCTAACACATAGAGCTACAATCCTATAAAATTTTGTAGACATTGAATAAGTGATTTGATCTCAGTGTTAGTTTGAAGTCGCGTCTTGGTTATTAGAAATTCAGTTTGCAACAGTCACTTTGCGAAAAACATAACCGGAGTTATACAACTCCGATTGAGGCATATAATATGTCGTTGGAAATACTAGGATTTCTAGTTTAACATATTAAAATCTCAGAAATTTTGGTAAAGAGTTGCATCTGCAATTTCAAAAATGGTAAGCGAAGTTTGTTGTCGTATTCTTAAATAGAGTTGATTTCTTTGGAATGTTCTTCAAGGATATGAATTATAGATTCTATTATACTTGTAAGTGATGTTCTAAGGTTAAGAGACCTTAGGGAATGGACTTAGTTCCTCTCACCTTGAGTTGGTGTCACTACGTAAAGAATGACTCCGTAAAGATAATATATAAAAGAATGACGTAAACGAGTATATTTATTAATTGCCTTTATATCTTGAAATAGGTTGTGATTTTGTGAGGGCCTATGATTGTGGTCCTTTGGATACTCAGAGTTCATTGGAGCATGTTGCAGATAAGGTAAGCTTTTGGTCCTCGATTTTATCCGTTGTTTGTTCCACCAAACTCCATAGGAGGGTGGTTTATATGCATGGTATGCTTTTACGAAAATGATATATGCATTGATATATGCCTGAAATATGTGGATATACCTGTTGATGTAATGTATGGATGTGATGTTGGGTACTTACACGATCAGGCAGCAACCCTGGTGTGTAATATACCTGTTGATGTAATGTATAGATGTGATGTTAGTACTTGTACAATCAGGAGGAACCCTGGTGTGCAAGGCATGAGGCAGCATCCCTCATGTTTGGTAGGTAGCAGACATGCATAAACCTTATCTTGTTCCCTGGCCAGTTGAACCGCACTTGCATACATCACATGAGATATGAACTGTGGTACATGATTTTCTGAGAATTTAAATATATTGTCTCGATTATATTGCTTTGACATGAACATGCATTGTATTTAGTGTTTTGAACTTATTATATACTTGTAAGTGAGCTTGGGGCGGAAGAGTCCTTGAGGACCCCTTGTCTTACTGAGATTTCTGTTAGAAATCTCACCCCTTCTGGGGCACATTTTTCAGGTACTGAGATTGTTGATGTTGGTGCATCTCGAGGCAAAAGGCCGGAGTCGAGTTGTTGGCATGAAATGCATGCATTATGTTTATGAAATATTTTATAGCTGAGGCATGCTTAATATTGACAGTATTTATTATGTGCATTTGATGTGAGCATAGGGATTGTCTATGCCATATTGTAATATGCTTGATGTATTGTTGTTGGGGATTATGTATTAATTATATTGGTCCTTATTTTTGTAATATGATTTGCATGTGAGATGGCCTAAGTAAAGGATTGTTAGGTGTCACCGTTCATGCATGTATTAGTTGTTTAAACACCATGAAATATGACAACATAGATGCCTAGAAAGATATGAAATAGCTTAACTAAACTGATTACCTGATGGTATGTCTTATGTAAGGACAACTAAGCATAAGATGAAGTAATATGGGGCAAAGAGGGTTGAATGCTAAACCCCAGCTTGTAGATAAAGATATTCCATTTCGCTACTGTCATGGAATATCCAGATATTGGTGATCTAATATCCGAATATTGATATCCGGATATATCCCCGACAAATATCTGAATATTCTGGGTGAACAGAAGTAAAAATGAATGTTTAAAAAGAAAGGTTTGTGACTTTATGGAACTTAAATATGTAAGGCTTAAATCCATTTCTAAGGAGTGTGGTGCCTTAATAAATGTGAATGAAAAGGCAAGTAGCTATAATAAATAATTTAGATGTGAACGAATGTCTTAGGGTCTGTCTTTATTACTATGTCATAGTTGACTAGATAATAGAAGAATTTCGTAAGATTGTCATGAAATGAATAATTAATTATGTTGATGGTTAAGTATGACATAAAGTAATTAGTGGATAATTTTGATATCAATGGACATTACAAGTAAATAATTAACGATGATTACGATAATAGGTAAGTGTAAGATTAATCATGCAAATTGTAACACATAGGATAAATGAAAAAGTTTATCCGCATTTTTCACTTAGTAATTCTAACGTTAATTCCACTGCAAGTAAGTAATATTAAGCTACGCTTAGTACCATTATGATGTTAATAAACCGGGTATACACGGGGTGTTACAAAAAATCAAGGTATTTTTGTAATTATAATTTATTTTAGGGTTATAATAGTCTTTTTTATTATAATTTTTTAATTTAACCCAAAATGACGTCATTTTGGGAGCGAATATAGATAACTTATCTACATTCTCTATAGAAATATTAAAGCCTTATAATTATAGTAATTTTATATCTGAGTGGTGACAGTTGGCGAGACACACACACAGATAGATATATATATATATATATATATATATATATATATATATATATATGTTTATATTTTCTTATGCAATAGGAGATAAGATATCTCATGTTGCACTCACAAACTTATGTGGGTCCCACTATACAAGAAAAGAGAAAAAAATTGAAGTGGGTTCCACACCTTTTTTGAATGTGTAGGAGAGACTTGTTGTATCCTGTCACGTGAGGCTAATATTTCTATATATATATATATGGATATATATATATATATATATATATATATATATATATATATATTTACGAAATTAGTTTTGCATATGTGGCAAAAAATTAAAAATCATTAGAGAGAGAAAAATTATAAAGAATAGAGAGAGACCAATTATGTTGCACTAACCAGTGTTATTAAAACCAGACCGGCCCGGCCGGTCTGACCGATTGGCCCTGAAACTGGCCCACCGATTGGCCCCGAAACTGGCCCATCAACCGGTTCGGTTCAAGCAATAAATTGGATGTCATTGACCTGGTATCAACCCGGTGAGCCGGTGATGAACCGCGGTTCAACCAGTATAAATCAATACTGATTTTCTTTCTCAAACCGATTTTTCAAAATGACACAGAAAATATTTCATATATTGTCGTCGTCATGTTTGGAAACCGAGGGCACATGTAACACCCCGTATATATCCGGTAGTGTTATCATTACATCGTATTAAGCTACGCTTGATTAAAAAAAAGCGGAATATTCTTTTTATTTTCAATTATGACATCACTATCAATTACCAACTAGATTACTTAATCAATTTCATAAAATATCGCCTGAATGTAAATTGCAATAAGACATCTACTGAAATACCTCAATCTAATATATAAAGTGAGTATCTAAGTCACGGCATTACATCACGTAATCCGGACAATAACCTGATACATTAATACAACTCTAATAAAAGCATGACATAACAAGTTTACGTGGCATGGACAATCCCCATGCTCACCAAATCAACAGCGTCTCAACAAGATAACCATAATCATAGAATGAAGCTCAAAGCATAAAAACAGCATGCATATCCAGCATCCAACAAGTCAGCAATATCATCAATATCTAACTCAGCTCCGGCCTCCT